CTAAAGCTGCAGCCCAATCCTTGGTTCTTATCCTGCTTGACCTATCAGCTGCCTTTGACACAGTCAACCACAGGATCCTGCTATCAGCTCTCTCAGCAATGGGCTTCTCGAGAAAAAGCACTCCTGTGGTTCGAATCCTACCCTGCGGGGCGTTCCTACAATGTTTTGTGGCAAGGACAATTATCCTCCTCCCACTGCCTCTCCACAGGGGTGCCCCAAGGCTTAGTGCTTGGGCCCCTTCTCTTCTCAATTTACACCACCTCACTGGGGCCGATCATTCGCTCGCACGGCTTCTCTTACCACTGCTACGCAGACGATACACAACTCTACCTATCCTTCCCGCCAGGCGATCCCACCGTCTCAGTGTGGATCACGGACTGTCTATCGGACATATCTGCATGGATGAAGGCTTGCCACCTTCAACTAAACCTCTCTAAGACTGAACTCTTGGTCATTCCAGCCAAGCAATCTATCCACCATAACATCACACTACAAATTGACTTCTTAACCATCACTCCAACCAAGGTGGTGAGAAACGTGGGTGTCATGATTGATGACCAGCTGTCCTTTTCAGACTATGTTGCTGCTGTCTCTCGGTCATGCTGCTTTGCTCTATACAACATAGGGAAAATCAGGCCCTACCTCACTCAGTACGCCACCCAGCTTCTGGTACAGGCCATGGTTATCTCTCGCCTCGACTATTGCAATGCCCTCCAGCTTGTGCAGTGAAACCCTTACAAATGGTTCAGAACGCAGCAGCGTCTCTGGTTTTTGATCAGCCCAAAAACTCACTCCATTACTCAGTGACCTCCACTGGCTCCCCGTGGCCTCCAGAATCAAATTCAAGTCACTAATGCTTGCATACAAACTTACGTTCCTTCTTGGCCGCTACGCTCCTCCAACAAACGCTGCCTGGCTCTGCCATCCCTTCACACAAAGCAATCCCAGTCCCGGCTATTCTCATCTGTGACACCACGATGGTGGAACGAGCTACCACACGCCATCAGAGCAGGGGCGTCCCTCTCTAACTTCAAGAAGCTCTTGAAAACTCATCTCTTCCGAGAACACTTCCTCTTATAACACCTCTAACTCCTCTAACATGCACGTCCTGTGCTCCTCTTCTTCTATCCCCTACAATGATCTTGTATTGATTGCACTTTTTGTTAACTTACTTCCTTCCCTAGGTTTTTACCCCATCGATGTGATAAGTACTATGAGCTCTTACTAGTACTTATTGCTGCTCTTACTAGTATGTATTGTCAGTTGTAGATCTGTATTTGATGCTCTGTTGATGCTTGTATGTTGTTCCTCAAATGTAAGTCGCTTTGGATAAAAGCCAAATGAGTAAATGTAATGTAAATGTAATGGTTGTAACACTTTTTGCTTCAGTAACCATAACTCACTGAATTTTTTAGCTAGAGTTCTCAAATTTTTATACAAAATATCCACGTGTTCACTACAAATGGCAGCAATTCAATCCTCTACAAGAATATCACATATCTCGTGAGTTGATGGCAAATGCCTTGTGTTCCCTTGTTACAACCTACCCCAATAGCGAGGTAGGTTGTAACACGTGCTGGGGTAAGTTGTAACAATCACACAAAAGAATCAAAAATAGATGCCGCACTATATGATAAGCTTCCAAAACAGGTAGTGATATCAAAGAAAAATGTTTCACTCTTGCTGTAACAGACTTTGTCTGATGACTCACGTGCATGAACAGTATGTGTATGTAAATTTATCTATAGAATAAACTTACTTAAAAGTATACTTAATAAATACTACTAAAATGTTCCTAATTAAAGAACATATCTGTACATCCTTAGGTCTAACTAAAAATAGGTGTATGTGTGTGTGTGTCAATGTGTGTATATTCTTATTCAGAGTCACTTGCTTGAAGTGGGCTGGTATTCAACGGTACGTATATCAGCACTTCTATATTTTACTCTTTGGCGTACCGTGACTCTTTTTTTGCGCACAGGCACTTCTTACAAGCTGCCCATACGCTTTTCTACCCTCTCCACCAGCGGAGACCGAGAGTATGGAAAAGTTCGAGTGACAATACACAAGCTAACATGTGTACAACATGTGAATGGGGAGTACTGGTCACAGTGCTGACAAATTAATGCTGGTAACCCTGGAGTGCGGGTTTGGTGGGCCCAGACTGCATAGGGCAATCTGTAAAACATTAAAATCAAAGAAAGTCCCTAGTTTTATGTATAGAGGATGGTTGTAACACTTTTTTAAGAAGTGTTACAACCCACCCCACCCCTGTCAGCCAATGTTGAGCTAGCGGTATTACCATAGTGGTTTGAAATTAGAAAGTAAAAAATGCATCACATGTTGCCTGAGAAACTATATTTCAATCTTATATAAGTCAAACAATTCTATCTGCAATAGTATAGATAGTCTTGGTCAAAAATTTTACTTTCTTACCTCAAAATCATTTTTCTCTATATATTCTGAATGCACCTCTTTCCAGACTTGATAACCACCATGCTTGATCTGGGAGGAAGCAGGTAAATACTGAAATGATCACCTCACTCCTATCTTATCTCTATTTGGTGGAATTGGTGTTGTTACAACTCTCCCCATGTTACAACCATACCCGGTCTCCCCTATTAGAAATATATTATTATTATAGTAACTTTAAAAGGCATGACATTTAATAAATATTTTTCAATCCACGCACCACCTGCTGAAGCGATATGACAAATCTCACAGACAATGCAATAAATTGCCTTCAAATTTCTCACATTTCTCAGAAATGTGACAGTATGTTGCTGTATTGTTTTGCATAATGAAAAGAAAAGACAAAAGATAATGAAAACAATTTGAGTATGGCAACTATGGCAACATAGCTTTCTGACATCATTGTTTTCCCACCATTACCTCTTTTCTTGCAATGTCACTTTAACAGTTGTGACCCATTGTCTCAGCAGCAAACCATTTTTTATTTGTTATAAACTGACTGTCAGTGGAAAACACCATTGAACAAGAGTGTTCATGAAACATCCAGTGAAGGTTATATCAGTGGCAACTGACTTGGTTGAAGATACTTGAAGAAAATGTTTCAGCTCTCACACAAGAGGCTGCTTCAGTTCTGGTGAAGAAGAAATTAAGTTGCCCTTGAGTTAACCTTCCTTGGATAACTATGACTTGGATGACTGAGAATTTCCACGGACAAATTTCATGGCATTTCTACGTTAATTAAGAGTATAGTGTGAATGACATCCAAAAAGGAAGCAATAACCAGATTCAAACCCATAGAAGAGCAAACACTTGGTACAATAATCTTGCTAAGCCTCTGGTCGTCATTGTCCAGGTGTCCTCTGCATGGAGAATAAACCAAAAGGATGTAAATTAGCAGGCAAGCTCAGCTCCATTCAGTTGCATAGGGCTAACATCTCTTTGTGCCATCCTTCATTCTTATCAGCCGTCTAGGAGGACACTGCTCAGACAAGCACTGTAATAATAACAAACCATTACTCTGCCAGTCCAAGCTCAGACACATGAACTAGCGCCATGCTGTGAGCTTTACTTTGCTTTTCATTGTCGTATGATGTTCATTGCAGGTAGAGATGAAGTGTAGTGTCTTCCCCATTGCTAACATATCCAGGAAAGGGTATATTAAGTGTGTTATCAAACATTCAGACAGAGGTTTATTTCATCAAAATAGGAGTTCTGGCTGTATAAGTCATAATGTGGTATCTATTGCCAGTTGTATTTAGCAGCACATATTCCACTATGACTTAGAAACAAAGGTTTTTATCTTTTCCATATACAAACAAATTACAGGTTGTTAGCCAACAACATGGAAATTAAATCTGATGTCAGGAGGGCAGGAAATGCCTTTCAGAAAAATCAACCACGGTCTCTTTCCTGCTCAATTTACTGCTCAATTAACATTGAATCAAATGTGGTAAAACTGACTCTTGAATACAGTCTTCATTTCGCATTATTTTTTTTAAAGCAGCCAGACACACAGCAGCAGATCACTGAAAACATTGTAAGCATGCAAGGAAAGCAAGGCATTAATATAACACATTTTAAATAGGAGATAAATGTGCATTACATAAGCTATAAAAGTCCAATAATGCAATTATAAAAAGAAATTAAAATTGAATAAAAAGAATTAAACCTCTTTAAATAGACACATGAAGACATAGACAAGTGAACAGTTAAAGTACAGTTTCAGGGCAGTTCCAGTGCAATATACTGTAGCCCAAAATTGAATAAAGGAAATAAAAGTGCAGTAGAAAAATATAATGAAAGGCACGCTTCTACTTCAGCATCTGTCTGTGTCTGCAACCGTGAGTGGTATGACTGCAAACAGCAAGCCACATGGATCACAGCAATAACGAGAGAGTGACAGAACACTGACGCACACACACATTTTGACATCCCAAAATACTTCACACAGTTGACTGGCATGCATGCGAAGTAGAATGTGTTAATGAACAAGTTTTGTAATTAAAGCCTTACCGTCACTTAAGGGGCTTGGATTATGGTGACAGACATGACAAGCAGGCTGGAGATGTTAGGCCGTGTTCATAAAAAGCCTCCAGCCCTCATGTCTTCATGCTCAGGTTAGGTGAGGCCACTGTCATCTGTTCATCCAACTGTTCCATCACGTTCTCATACCTAAACGATAGAATAGGTCAAACACTCCCAAAGCAATATGACCATCCACAGGAGAATACATATATAAAGTGACCAGATTCCTGAAATTCCCACTTTGGGGGTCAATATATCATTAAAATATCCAATGTTATTGTTTCTGAAATAAAAAAAGGGGGACAATTCCAGTTTCATGTATTTTTAACTATGGTAACTGTATAAAAGGCTCTGACATTTCTGGGTGCCTGCCGCTTTAAGACTCTCCTTCTGTGGTTACGGTAGGGGAAGTGTGTAGCTAGTGTGTTGGCTATAGTGGGAACGGAAACCTTTTGAAGTTCAACGAGCATAGTTTAGCCCACGTACCTGTGACGATATTTCCTCCTGAATGATCCAGCTTCCAATATGCCACGTGTTGAGTTAATGACGAAAAGTAAGTGACTGCAACTTTGTTGTGTTTGTTTCTGTATTGTAGAGTTAACATGCATTCACATGTGGCCAGCGTGGTGAGTGAGATTTCTAATGTTAGCACAATGTTCATGCTGTAAAACGCTGCAGGAAATAATAAGTTACCTGGTGTGAGCCTTCTGATGTCTAAGTTACGCAGTGACACCTATAACATTGAAGTAGGGAGTGTTCGTGTCGTGTTTATTAGACCATGTGCAGACGCTACTGTGTAGTAGCCTCAGCTAGCCAGAGGGTGTCGCCATTGCTCCTTATGTGAACCCCTTTCAATGCAATCTATGATGTAAACTGGTCAGTGAGCTACGTGAAGCTCCTTATGTCTTTCCAAGGAGTAATATCCACATTTCTGTAATTGTAAACTTATGTTTAAAGGGGAATAGCAATGTTTTGAGATGTGTATGTTGGATGATTTAATTACATAATGTATGTGGATTTATTATTCACGTTGCATAGTAATTCAAGTACCTAATGGTGATTTATTTGGTTTATACAGACTATAATGACAAAGATGGATATTGGAATGTTCTGATGAGTACTGCTGGAGCTCAATACAGTTGAAGGAAGAAATTACATCTCCTTGTCTTCGTTCCTGTGTCCTGACCGATACACCATCCTGTTCACTAGCTGAAAACCTTGATGAACTAGCCCTACCTAGTTGCCTCAGTAACATTGGTCCTTCGAGCCGGATCAGTAGTATTCAGGATGGAGTCAGATGAAGAGATGTATCCTGATGTGAGACCTAAACGGCAAATACGTCGACCCACCAGACTTCAAGACTTTGAAGTGGACTATATGGGATATAGTCAACGAGATCAGTTGCAGTGGGCCCTGCCATCCCCTACCTTGGATGGGACAATGTTCCTCACCCGGGCGGGTCCAGGCCAGATGACCCCCTTTCAGACAACCCACTCTCACTCTGGTGGCTTCACTGAGAATGCTGCTCACCTTGAGATTCCTCAGCTAGCCCCAGCCCACAGCCAGAGGAGAGATTTAGATGGGTTTATCCTGCCTGCACAAACACCCTCATCCCAGCAGAGCCCAGCACTGGAGTCTCGTTTCCAGGAGGAAATTAGAGCTATTCGAGAGGAGAACGCTAAGCTGCTCCAAACACAACAGGCCTTCCAGACAGGTATAAAGGAACTTAATGAAGCACGGCACGAGATGAAAGAGCTAATGGAGGTGGCCCGTTCACTGAGAGCAGACCTGGCCCAATTGAACAGCCCAGCCTCGAACTACAGTAACCCCAAATCTCTACAACCCGGTGCTGTAGCCTCAAGGAATTACCCTGTTGCAGCACACTCAAAGGAAATGGAGGTGGAGGACTGGCCTGATCCGCCACCCTGGCCTGAACCTGATGAGAACCTGTCGAGAGGCATGGGCAACCTCGGGATTGAGGAACAAGGGCTAGACAGTAGCTGGCTCTACTTCCCCCCTGAAGCTAGAGTATGTACGCCTTGTAAGCCTCCACCGCTGACACAGCAGCCTCCTCAGCATCCTACTCCTGCTCCTGACCGAGGTAAATCACCATACCCCTCTGCACGACCCCCTCAGCTGCTCACACACCCAGCCCCAACCCATGCACTGTTAATGCAATCAGCGCCTGCAGAAGCCTACCATCAATTAGCAGCCACTGGAGCCGTACATGGCATGCCGCCACCTAATCAGTCTATGCAGCTACCAGGGAGAGAACAAGTGTATCGAGGGCCCCAACCCACAATCCCAAAGTTCATTCACCCGGATCCCAGTGAGTTTGCCCGGCTTCGCATAGCTCTAGAGAACCTACTCCCATCTAATGCTACAGAACTCTTCAAGTATCAAATACTTGTGGATCATCTAAGGCTGGAGGAAGCTAAGCTTATAGCAGATGCATATCTAAACTCACCAACCCCATATAGTGACACTATGGCAGCCCTCCATGATAAATTTGGTCAGCCCCATCAGCTCGCCTTAAAGAAGATAGCAAGCATTCTAGAAACCCCTGAAGTCAAGCGTGGAGATACGGTGGCATTCCAAAGGTTCTCTCTCCAGATACAATCGTTAGTGGGCTTGTTGCAGACTTTGGGTCCTGAAGGGGAAATTGAACTGAACTGTGGCTCACATGTTGCTCGTCTGCTGAGTAAGCTCCCTCCCGAACAGCGAGCTGATTTCCGTCGTCATCAGTTCAAGCAGTTAGGGGTTACCCACACTCTGCAGGATTTGGCAGAATGGCTTCGCTATGAATCGTGGTGTCAGGGTTTCGACAGTCAGGCTACTGGACGTAGCATTAAGGAAAGGCAGAATGTGAAGGCTGATGGTCGGCCTGCAAGACAAACGGTGACCGTCCTACATGGAGCCGGTGAGTCTGCAGAATGCGTCTCTGTCCCACAAAGAGAATTCAGCAAAGAAAGGGGCCAAGAGTAAAGCCTACTGTGCCTACTGTGAGAGCACGGAGCATTATCTCAGTCAGTGCAGTGCAGTCTCCAACCTATCCAAAGACCAGCTTAGAGAGTGGATACGGGTTAACAAGCGGTGCTGGCGCTGTGCACGTGCTCATCAAGCAGCCCAGTGCACATTGAAGAAACCCTGCAACATCTGTCAGGGAAAACATCTACTGGCTCTCCACGAGATAAATACAAGAGCAGAGAGGGGCAATAAAGATGTAGCAGTTAAAGAAGAGAGCTGCTTAACAAGCTCTGCCTCTGACTCACTTTACCTGGACAGACCTGGAGCTGGTAATCGAGTCATGTTAAAGGTCATCCCTGTGCTTGTTCATTATGAGGACCGGACACTCGACACCTTTGCAATCCTCGATGATGGGTCAGAGAGGACTATGTTGTTGCCAGCAGCCACTAAGTTTCTTGGCATAAAGGGCACTCCTGAAGCTCTTCCTCTGCGTACAGTCCGTCAAGACATCCAGATACTCCATGGACACACAGTGTCTTTCCGAGTCTCACCAGCTGCAAACCCTCGGACTAGCTACAAGATCAATGATGCCTTCACAGCTGGCCACCTCAGCTTAGCGCACCATACTTACCCTATCGACCGCCTGCAGCGGAAATACAAACACCTGAGTGGCATCCCCCTACGTGCCTTAAGAGACGGTCAACCAACACTCCTGGTAGGTTCCGACAACCCTCAGCTGATAACACCTGTCGAGCCTGTCAGGCTTGGTCCACCGGGTGGCCCAGCTGCAGTTCACACCAGGCTTGGGTGGACTCTTCAAGGCCCCACCCCATTCATGGGGCGGCCCATCCAACCTGCGCAGTGTCTGTTCACTTCATCTACGCCACCAATGGAGGAGCTTTATAAGCATGTTGAGAGGCTCTGGCAAGTAGACACCGTACCTTACCGACATGAGAGAGAAGTGACTCGGTCAAAGCAGGATCAGCAGGCTGTAGCATTGCTTGAAGCCAAGACTGTCCGCACTAAGGTAGATGGAATTCTCAGGTACGCCACACCATTGCTGCGCCATGCAAGCATGCCCCCTTTGCACTCACCGAAGTACTGAGAGGCGTCTCTTGAAAGACCCCAAACTGGCGGACGCCTACAAGATGGAAATGCAGAAGCTGATTGAAGCAGGTGCTGTGCGGGAAGTCATTGAGGAGACCTCCACCAAAGAAGGCTGGTACATCTCACATCACCTCGTCAGCCACAACGGAAAGAACCGCCTTGTCTTTAATTGCTCACACCCATACCTCGGACAGACCTTGAACCAGTACCTGCTACCTGGCCTACCCTCGGTGCCCCGTTGCTGGGGGTCCTAGTGAGATTTCGTGAACATCCCATAGCTGTTAGTGGCGACATCAAGGGGATGTTCCATCAAGTCCGTCTCATCCCTGAAGATCGTCCTCTCCTAAGGTTCCTGTGGCAGGACCTGAAGGTGGAAGAGTCCCCAAGAACATTTGAGTGGCAAGTTTTGCCTTTTGGCGCCACCTGCAGCCCCTGCTGTGCAACATACGCCCTGCAGCGTCGTGTTGTTGACCACTGCCAGCCTGATGACAACCTGAGATTCTCTGTTGAGAACTGCTTTTACGTCGATAACTGCCTGCAGAGTGTGTGTACACCAGGTGAAGCCAAGCTGCTGGTGGATCGGCAGAGGGATATTCTGACTGCTGCGGGCTTCGAGTTGCGTCAATGGGCCTGCAACGATCCAAGCGTCCTGGGCCATTTGCCTCAAGAGGCCAGATCAGAGAGCCTGGACCTGTGGCTGGCACAAGATAAGTCCAACCCTCTGGAGTCAACACTTGGTCTCAGCTGGAATTGGGCAACAGACTCCTTGGGCTACAAACATAGGCCTGTGGCCTACGAGGCACCAACCTTGAGGAACATTTACCGAGTCCTAGCTACTCAATATGATCCCTTGGGTTACATGTTACCTTTCTCCACCCGAGCAAAGCTCATCATTAGGCAGCTGTGGGATAAGAAGCGAGGTTGGGATGACTCTAACTTACCTGCCGAACTCCTGCAAGCCTGGTCCAGCTGGGAGGCTGAACTTCAGTCCTTACCTCTTCTTACCTTTCCGCGTGCATATGCGCCTGCGGACGCCAACCTTGAGGAACATCTTCGCAGACGCCTCTGAACAAGCTTATGGAGCTGTAGCCTACATGAGAACTGAGGACAAGGAAGGCCAGATCCACCTTTCCTTCATCCTAGCTCGTTCCCGAGTAGCTCCAAGACGTCTGCATTCCATCCCACGCCTGGAGCTCTGTGGAGCTCTGGTTGCAGCGCAGCTAGCTCGTGTCCTTGAGAGGGAACTTACCTTGACAGTGGATCGTACTGTGTTGTGGTCAGACTCCACTACAGTGCTAACTTGGCTGCACTCCCAGTCTTGCCGCTACAAGGTCTTTGTAGGCGCCAGAATAGCTGAGATACAGGAGTTAACAGGGACGTGCACCTGGCGCTATGTGGACTCGGCAAACAATCCTGCTGATGATCTGACGAGAGGGAAGACCCTGGAAGCCCTTACAGATCCCAACCGATGGTCACAAGGACCTCCCTTTCTTCTCCAGAACCCAGACACCTGGCCAGAAAGGCCCCGCACTGAGCCACTTGAGGACAAAGCGGAACTCCGGAAGGCTACCTTCTGTGGAGTAACAGTTACCTCACCGACGTCTATCAGCCAGGATGACAAGGTGTACCGCACCTGGCAGGAGCTCATGGATGCCACCGCTCAAGAAATCCAAGGACAAACGCCTTCCAGTCCTCCGCCTAATGCTGAACAGTATCAACAGGCAGAGATGATCGTTCTCCAGCGAGCCCAACAACAGTCATTTCCAGAGGACTACAAACTCCTGGCAGCAGGGAAATCCGTCTCCTCTGGAAGTCGATTACTTACCTTGGCTCCGGAGTTAGATAAATCCACGGGCCTCATAAGGGTAGGAGGTCGGCTCCGACGTTTGGAAGACGACGTGACATTGCACGCTGTTGTCCTGGATGCCTCACACCCAGTTACACGCTTGCTTATCCAAAGGTATGATGGCGACCTGCACCATCCTGGTCCAGAGCGAGTCTTTGCAGAGTTGCGGCGGTCATTCTGGATAATCCATGGAAGGGAGGCAATTCGCAGACACCAGCGTTCCTGTGCGGAATGT